CCCTGATTATCCCTTACAAGATGAGTATTCTTAAGGCAGTAGTGGTGCATATTATCTTTTTAGGCAGAGGAGCCTAGAATAAGGAATTCACAGATACAGAAAGTGCCATAAGGATTACCAGGGGCTGAAGGCAGAGGTGAATAGGGAGTTATTATTTAGTGGGAATAGAATTTCTGTTTGGTATTATCAAAAAGCATGGAAAACAGGTCATGGTGATTATGTACAACATTGTGACCATACAGAATGCCACTGAATTGTATGTTTGAACACGGATAAAATGAAGCCAGTCATAGTGATGTGCAACTGTAGGCCTAGCTACTTGGAGGGTGAGGCAGGAAAGTCCCTAGAAGTTCAAGACCAGCCATGGCAACATAGTGAAGTCCTGTCTCAAAAATGGTTGAATGGTAATATATTTTTAAAATTTTACATATGAAAACATTTTATTGGTCACTCGCTGGCCTTCTTCCACTTTAGTTACCATCTTGTATAACACTGTCCACGACTCCACTCTACTCATCTGTGATTTAGGTAACGAGAAAGAGAAAAGAACGTTTAGAGGTCAGCTGTGGCTGCGATGATACTCAGGTCCTCGGCTGAGGCGATTTCCCCCAACTCTGGCTGGAAGCGTCTCCACCACGGAGGACCAGGCTCGGCCTCCCACACCTCGCAGCCGGCAAAGCCCGGGGACGCTGCTGCCAGAGGTGGCTGTTGCTGTGAATGATTCACTCACGCTTGGTACATTTGCTGCAAGGAACTCTGCACCTCTCACCACTTCCTCCTTCGAATCTTCTCCTAAATGGTAATATTTTTGAAAAGTAAATTCTTAGTTCTGCCCTTAAAGATATTGGCAAAGCAAGTCTTGAATTGAGTGGGAAGCTATGTATTAGCAAAATCCCCATTTGCTACTTTTGAGAAACCTAACTCATGGAACACTGACAAAAGATTCTCCTATCATTGTAAAATGTGAAACTTGCCCAAAATGCAAGTTATCAGATTCAGAATTAACTCACTGAGACAGAGACTTGGGGGTGGGTCTCAACAATTTGCATTTAAACTAGTTCTCAGAGTTTTCCTGGTATAGGCTAACTTCTGAGAATCCCCTCTGTGAATCCTGAGACTTTCGGCTACTCCATCATCTGGCTAAATAGGAAACCACCAATCAGAAAATGCTGACACTTGTCACTAAGGGCTGATACAGGAAGACTAGAATGACTCTTCCCAGAGGAGAGGAACAGAGGAGAGAATAATTATGGGTGAACCCCACTGTTAGTCTCTCAGGAATAAGAAACTGGAAATTTAGAGACCTCTTCCTTTGTTGTCTCTCTTGTTGAGGACCCAAACTGATCAGAGAGTGAGCACACCATTGACCAATTTGTCTAATAAGCTTCAGTGGGATACAGCCTCTGGGGCACAACCCATAACTCATTAACTTATAGTCACACGGCCCTTATGTGTCAGGCTCAAGACACTAACACCTTCTCCAGGAGTAATCAGCCAGCCCTTTACCACATGCTTGTCTCTCTCTACTTAGGAACAGACCTTCCATCTTCACCGCTCACTTTCAATGAGAACAAGATTCAAAGGGGTTGGCCCTGTGGAGGATCCATGGCACCAAGCCTGCATAGCCTGGTAAGTGTTGGAGGAAATACAGAAATGTAGTTTAAGGGGAGGCCATTGACAATTGCTAAGTATAAGGCAAGGGAAATCTTATGATATTCATGGAGCAGGATGTCTTGAAGATAACTGGTTGGAAAGTAGAATGATTAGACTAGTTGCTTAAATTTGACTTTATGTAGTAAGCTTTTAGTTTGGTTGTATATTATTTGGGTGGACAGCTGAGGAGGTTGTTGAGAGAGCTAGTTTTTGTTGGCCTCCTAGGGTGTGCTGACATTGTAGCACTGCCCTGGACCATATCGTCTAGTGATAGAGTTACCAGTCTGAGTTGTATGAATGGATATCCCAAACTAGTAACAGAACTGTAGGCACCTTATAGTTTTCAGTCTTGCTCTTTTGTAGTTCTTTTTCCTTATTATTTGATTCAAGAACTCCAGAACCTCTATTCTCCCTCAGCCTAAAACAAGCATTTGTGAATTCTCCTGTTACTCACACTTGCTTGGAAACATCTTCTCAGCAGTCCTGTCCTTCTTCCCAACTTGATCCTTGTCCTCAGTGCTTTTTTTTCCTGTGACACTCGGTATTGAACCTAGCACCTTTTCACTGAGCTATATTCCCCAGAGCATTTTCATTTTGAGAGAGGGACTCACTAAGTCATTAAATTGCTCAAGCTGGGTTTGAATTTGTGATCGTCAGCTTCACAGAATGCTGGGATTACTGGTGTGCCTAGCTTTGTTCATGGTTCTTATTAGACACCTGTAGGAGAGAAGAGTCTACTTACATAGAAGCACTTACTTCCCAAAGCCCGAGTGTGTAGACTATACAGCTCTTTCTCACTGAATGTAATACGCGGCTGAGAACAGATTCCAACTTTAGAAATTTGTAGAAGACAGAAATCACACCAGGAGTTTTGCACAGGTACCTGAAAGGATGAGGGTCAGACATGAGGTGATGCTTGGGACAGCACTGATGTGAAAGGAGGTGGAATTTTCCCAGCATTGTCTTGTGCTATGGTTCTTTCTATGTGCCGAGGTTTCTGTAACTAGAAGCAGAGGAATAAATGTCCGTGTCCAATTTCCTTCTATTGCGCTCTTCAGCAAAATGGAGCATGAGATGCTTGATGCGAGAACACAAAGGACTGCAGTGCATAAACACTGAGTTTAGGCGAGGCAAAGAGGAAAAGTGAAGGACACAGGTAAGCCCAACATCTAATCCCTTCTTGACATCTTCTTTTTGTGTTGGGGACACTAGAGAAGTACTGGAACTTACAGTTCCACCTCTTTCTCATATCCCTCTTGATTTCACTTGAGTGTTATGTCTTATGCTTAATCAGGAATTCCAAGCAGGATTTACCATCAGTCCCTAATCTCTCCTGGTCTCCATTTCTTTTCTGTGAAAACATTATTGAGTTAGCTCCTTCAACTCTAATGGTGCGAAGATTCTCCTTCACTGTTCTCTTGCCCTTAGATTTTTCTCTATAAAACTATCTTTCACACCAGGCAGAGGGGTGTAACCCCTTTGAATTTAATCTCTATGCAACCTTATGTACTTTCTATGGGTATCATTTTCACAGTTCTCATGGTCATGGTCCCTGCTCTCTTCTCCAACAACATTCCATTCTTGTTTGTTTGTTTGGTTTCTTTCCGGTACCGGGAGTCGAACTCATGACCTCGTGCTTGCCAGGCAGGCGCTATGCCACTGAGCTAAATCCCCAGCCCCTAACATTCCATTCTTCATTGTTTTCTTCTATGACTTCTTGCTTAAGCAATTGGAAAGTGCTATTTATAATCTGCCCTCTGTTGTTTCATGCTTCTGGCCCTTTTGTCCTTTTTTTTTGTGGTACTAGGAATTGCACTCAGCGCCTTTTCACTGAGGTACATCTCCATCCCTTAAGTTTTTTTTTTCTTTTTTTTTGGTTCCGAGGCAAGGTCTCACTGTGTTGCTAAGTTTTCCAGACTGGCCTCAAACTTGCAATCTTCCTGCCTCAGCCTTGTAATGCTGGACATTTTCTCATGTGGCAAATGTTTAGGAAATGCTTGTTACTGTAGGATGTTGGTGATCCCAGTTACACTATACTTTAATAATTTTTAACATGGTTTATTATTTGATGAAAGCATTTTTTTCCTTTCTTTTTCCCTCCCTTCAATCTTTACAACCTTCCTTCATTCCTTTTTTCTTTTCTCTCTTTCTTTCCTGATTCCATTATTTATTCCTTTCCCTTTAAATCCTACATGTCCTTCAGTATTTAATTCACATAATTTCCCTGCTCTCATCACTTTTCATAGCTCAGGTATGAACATTTGAACCTATTTTTAGTCTCAGTTCTTCTCCAGTCAAGAAAAATGACTCACATGGGCCTCATATGTGCTAGCGCAAGTGTGAACCATTTTATCAGTAAGATTTAAGGTTTCTCTTAAGTTTTCAGAATTGGTGATCTCAAAGCAAAGATGAAGGGGATGGGTGAGTGTCCCAGAGGCCAGTGGATATGTGTTATTCAACATTATGCAACATTTTGTATAATAAATGCCAGAATGTAGGATTCCTAAGTTTTATAATACTATGGTTTATATGCCCAAACCAACACTTCAAAAAATAAAAACAATCACAGAGAATTTATGACCTGTCTGGTGTTGTTTCATGTTTTTTATTTTCTTTAACTGTCTAGCTGATGTTGACAACATGGAACCAGGAAATGAGACACATATTTTAGAATTCTTACTTCTGGGATTTTCCCAAGACTCAGAGCATCAGTTGGTGCTATTTGGAGTGTTCCTGTCCATGTATCTGGTCACAGTGCTTGGGAACCTGCTCATCATCCTGGTCGTCAGCTCTGACTCCCACCTCCACACCCCCATGTACTTCTTCCTCTCCAACCTGTCCTTTGCTGACATCTGTTTCACCTCTACGACTATTCCAAAGTTGCTCTTAAACATCCGGACACAGAGCAAATCCATAACTTATGCGGGCTGTATCACGCAGATGTATTTTTTCATGGTCTTTGGAGTCATGGACTCATTTCTTCTCACTGTAATGGCCTATGACCGGTTTGTGGCCATCTGTCACCCTCTGCACTACCCAGCCATCATGAACCCCCGTCTGTGTGACCTGCTGGTTCTTGTATCCTGGTTCATCAGCTTGATCTACTCCCTGATCCAGAGTCTCTTGATGTTGCGTCTGTCCTTCTGCACCAACTGGGTAATTAAACACTTCTACTGTGAACTTGCTCAGGCCCTCACACTTGCCTGCTCAGACACATTGGTCAATTATGTCCTGCTCTATATGGTGACTGGCCTTCTTGGTTTCATTCCCTTCTCAGGAATCCTTTTCTCTTATACGCGAATTGTCTCATCCATCCTAAGAACCCCATCGACAGATGGAAAATATAAAGCCTTTTCTACCTGTGGGTCTCATCTATCTGTTGTTTCTTTATTCTATGCAACAGGCCTTGGTGTTTACCTCAGTTCTGATGCCACATCTTCCTGGGAAGGCATGATGGCCTCAGTGATGTACACTGTGGTCACACCCATGCTGAACCCCTTCATCTACAGCCTGAGGAACAGAGACATTAAGAGAGCTCTACAAAGAATTCTAAGGGGGAGACTATTAGAGAAAAGGAGGGGTGAGATAAGGGTCAGGGGAGTACTGGGGGGTGGAAATGGTCAAAGTATATTGTACAAATGTTCAAACATGCCAAAATGAGATCTTATATATTTCATATGCACTGATTAAAAAGAGAAAAAAAGACTTCTTGGGAGAATGTTTAGTGATGGGAGCATTGTTCCTGAGTTTTTGAGCTGCTTTCAGTACCAGCAGTAGGCTAAAAAATTCCTGCTTCTTCTCAGATGTAGCAACACTCATCTGACATCCCAGTTTGGGAGGCTGAGGCAGGAGAATCACAAGTTTAAGGCTAGTCTGGGCAACATATCAAGACACTGACTAAAATAGACAGACAAACCAGCCTCCAAAATAAAAAATCCCCACAAAATTCTATCTGTAAATCATATAAAATTTTGCTTTTCTTCACTGTTTCTCCGTCTTCAATCAATGTTACCGTGTTTCACTTCCTTCTTTCCCTCTGTTTATAGTTCACATTACTATACCTCAGTTTGGTGTTTATATTCTTGTGGGGCAATTCAACAATTGAAATACCAACTCAAAAATGTTGAATAAAGTCAGTGAGATAGTTAAAATTTTTAATTTTTATTGGTACACATTTGTAGTACATAGTGATGACATTCCTCTTGGGAAATTGGTACCTCTGCATAACTCATCTCAATTCTTTTTTTCATTTCTTTCTCCTCCCTCCATCTCTTGGTTCCCTTTCTGAAACAGACAATTTTCATCAATAACAATTACTAGATTTTATCAAATTCATTCATCAGAAAATATGTGTTGGACATTTATAGCATGACAGGATGTTTTAGATGCCTTAGATATGGCAGTGAAAAAAGATTCACAGAATTTAAATATATGTACAGGGATATGTTAGTTACTTTGTTTTCATTGCTGAGACAAAATACCCAACACCCAAAGTTAAAGGAGGAAAGGTTTATTTAACTCACAGTCTGTAGAGGTTTCAGTCCATAATTGGCTCGCTCCATGTCAGGGTGGCATGGCAGACAGACATCACAGAAGAGAAACAGTTCATGGTGGGCAGAAGGCAGTAAAGCAACAAAGGATGACCACAGATCTTTCTATCCTTTATATCTTATCCAGGTTACTTAAGGCAGGTAGCACTCACACCCATAATCCTAGAGCCCTTGATCTTAGCATTGTACCATGAATTGATCCCACTGTCACATACTCTAGATCCAGCCACTTCTGAAAAAGTCCCACCTATGATCACATGATGCTTTGAGGGGACATGTACACACAAGCCAAAATAAGGGATATTACAGTTAGTGGCCTAAAAGATTAGTATTTTAATTAGTGTCACGCTAGAATCTAAATAAGTGGTATGGATAATCTGTACAACAGTGCTGTGTGAAACATAGGCTGGAACTTAGGGAAGAAACCTGTGATCACCACCCAGTCATTACCAGAGATTTTAAAAATGAAAATTTCCACTTGAGAGGCATTTGCTATTTTGCTGCTACTAGATATTAGTTGAGATGATCTGCTATGATCTGTCTATGTCTCACCAAATTCATATGCTTAAGGTTTATCACCAATGTGATGGCATTAAGAAGTGAGACAGATGAGAAGCAATTAGGTTGTGAGAGTGGTGCCTGCATGAATGGGATTAATTTATAAAAGATGCCCCAGAGAGCTGCCTTGCCTTGTCCACCATGTGAGAACACAGTATAAGAAGGCAACATGTATAAACCAAGACACAGATCCTACTTATATAATCTTTCAAAATTTATTCAAAAATGGATAGGGAGGCAGCTTTGGTTTTGTTCTTCCACTCTTTTAAGTTTCACTGGAAAAATAGCTGGAGGGAAAAATTTGAAGGGAAACATCAACTCTTTCCTAAGAATTTTTCAGATTACAGGGCAAACACTTCATTTCATCTCTCTTGGCATCTCTCAACATCCTGTTTTTGATTTGTAATTTTAAAAGACCCAAACTCTTTGGAATCAAACCACAGTATCCCCAAGAGCAACCTGATGGAGTACTGTTCTCTTTCCTTATAGGACAAAAGGACAAAAATCTACCATGAACGCTCTCAGTACAAGAGCAGAAATTGTCTTCCTTATCAGATCAATAACATTAGATGAAAACAAAACTTTCTGAATGTTTCTGGCTTCTCCTTAGATTACTCTAACCATTGGCTCTGGTCTCAGCTCAGGTTCTTAGGCTCTGGCCAGGGGTCAGATCCATAACACATGCACATGGGCTGGTGGTTCTCCAGGCTCTACTTTTGGACCACAGTACCAGGGAGTCTGATTGCACTTCTGCCCAGCTCTCTGCACTGGAACAGACTCTATGTGCCAGTCTCTTCTCAGCTGGGTTTATTGGCTGCAACTGGCCAGTCGGGTTAATAATTTTTCAAGCACTTGGCCTCTTGGGAGATGCTCAAACAGTTCAGCTTGAGTTCTCCAGGATCCCAGTTGAGCTGGCTGAGTCCACTTGGGTAAAGACGAGGTGATGGCACCAGGAGGAGCAGGGTGGACGTGTCTGCATGTGAGGGCCTGGCACCAACAGAGATTTTTATTCATGATGCCTCCTTCATGCCAAGAAAGGCCCAATTCTAGACTGTTAGAAATGAAGGAGGCTTAGTCATTGCTGTCTATATATACACAGTATACCTATATTAAAGGATAAAATAAAATGTAATTTTGTAGAAACATGAAAATTGTAATTTCATTTCATGCTGTGGGAGACCAGATGAGAATTGAGGCCTAATTGTCCTCTTCTGTGAGCACAAAGGAAAACATAGCTGAATCAGGTTGTTTACCTGGGGGTATACAAATGGATAATGGAAGGCAGATGAATCTTGTGTTACATGAATTACTTGTACCTGTATTTGAGTGAATAAAAGTAGGTTGAGCCCCTATAGGCAAGAGCCCCCTGGCTGCCTGCAGGTAAATTAATTCTGTGTCTATTTGTCTTTTGCCCTTGTTTTGCTCCTGGGTGAGGGTGATAAACTAGCAGGATTAGGTCCCTAGAAGTGATGTCTGGGTGAGGAAAGACCAGAGTGGGCTGGTTCCCCACATGGTCCTCCTAGAATAGGGTTAGGGACCAAGAACTAGGGTAGACGGGTCTGCTATATCACACACTATTTTAGTGGGGTTGGACAAAGATTAACTTTATGTTCACTAATGATAATATTTAAATTTATCTTTTACTAATTTTATACATTCATCACATATTTATCACAAAGGGACATCCATTATCTGTTTAATCCCTAAACAGTGCTGTTGCACAAATAAGAAGTCAACTCAGAAAATATGCTTTCACAGAGATACTAATAACCTGGCCTAGATCACAAAAATAGTGAGTGAAGCAGACAAGATTTAAAATTGAATTGTCAGCATTTTAGGTCAGGATTGCTACATTTTTCATGGATCCCAAACTACTAGAAATTGTTTGGGCAGGGACTCCACATGTATTAATGCAAATGATACATTTTATGATGTTTTAGTTATCTTCACAGGGATTTAGTGTGAACCTTAATTTTGGCCTCCTTTTGAAAACTGAGTGAGGTGATTAAAGCAATGGAAGAGAATGTGGACAGTGGCAAGGATATCTTGGCATGGGGCAAGAGTCAGATCTGTGCTGAGCTGTCATGCGTCTACTTCCTTTGTTTCTGTGCCTGTGATCTAGAGCAGTTAGTCCTATAGTGGATGCAGCAGGTCTTACTGCTCTACTCTTTGATCTTCCAGGCGGCCTCAAAGGAAGAGCACGGTAAGCAAGAGGGTTCTCCCTTGAGTGACAGAGAAATAAAATGGCTGTTTATGTTTTCAAGGGGACAGCCAGCCAGGATTTCAGTCAATTTCCTGGGTATCTAGTGTCAGACATCAAAATTCAAACATGGTTTTATAAATTCCTCCCTAATTACATAGCACAAGTTACCTAAAATGCCATACTCTTTCTCTCTCTTTTTTTTGGGTACCAGGAATCGAACTCATGACCTCGTGCTTCCCAGACAGGTGCTGTGCCGCTGAGCTAAATCCCCAGCCCCATACTCTCTTATTTTCTATCAAATGATCATATTGGTGTTTAAAACTAGTGGAAAACTGTGTATTTGAAAAGGAACAAACTATGTAAAACACATAACTCAGATTCTGGCATGTAGGAAGCCTTCAATAACAGATTGTAATATGAAGGTTATTGTCATCCTCTTCATCCTCATTATCACTCTCATAAACCTTTTGGAGGACTTAGGACACAGGCTGATTATTTACTACTACTAGGGTTTGGAGGTCCAATGCACAAAGCTCATAATTAGACAAATTCTTCCATGCTATCAAAATCTCTAAGGGCTTTCTAGTTGTAGTGAAGACAGAAGAGAAAACAAATGTCCACAGAAGATTTTGGGCTTTATTTCATGTACGAGGAAGTTCATGTTTAGTATTTACATCTTTTTTTCTAAGAACCACCTGATTTTTCCACTTTTTCTATGCTAATATATTTAAAAAACATGGCTAATTAAACCATTTTGAGTGCACAGATCAGGGGCATTAATGATGTACAGTCATCACTACCACATAACTCCAGAACTTTTGATCTCCTACAGTGACACCATGTATCCATTTAAAAAACTCTTAATTTTTTTCATTCCATTCCAACCATTCTACTATTTTATATATTAAATATATCAATATATAAATATAATGTGCTCAAGAAGGCAGGAAGTATGAGTCTAGATTTTCATTTTCTGCCTTTTACATCCCACATTCCATCTGGAAGCGACAGGTCCTGGCATTACACTGCTTTGATGTCTCCTCAGGGCACTATTTTCTATGTGTCTATTTCAAACTTATTTATTTGTTATTAGTATGTGTTTGCAGTATGTAATATTTACATTCACCTCAGGGAGTAGGTGCATGTACTTAACACAACTGGTTAATGTCTCTGTTTCTCTCAGTGTGTAGATGAAAGAATTCAGCACAGGGTTTACCACAATGTACATCAGCTGTACTACCATGCCCTTTACGGGAGAATGTGGTACGGCTGACCAAAGCTAGGTGCCAGCAATTGTTCTATAAAATAAATAGGTCACAGATGAGAACCACACATGAAGGTTTATATTTCTCACCTGATGATCAGATTTTCAGAGTGGAGGAAAGGATATCACATAAGAGGAAGCAGACGAGATCAGGCGTGTTCAGGTGTGGAGAAACAGGAACCCTTCTCCACTGCTGGTGGGAATGCAGACTGGTGAAACCACTGTGGAAATCAGTTTGGAGATTCCTCAGAAAACTAGGTGTAGAGGTCCCATTCAACCCAGCTATTTCCCTTCTGGGTATTTTCCCAGAAGACCTAAAAACATCACATCACAGCGATATATGTGCACCTATGTGCATAGCAGCACAATTTGTAATTGCTAAATTGTGGAAGCAACCCAAATGTCCATCCACCGAGGATTGGATTAAGAAAATTGTGGTACTTTTATAGAATGGAATATTACTCAGCTATAAAGAAAGATAAACTTAAGGCCTTTATAGGTAAATGGTCACAACTACAGACCATACTCATAAGTGAAATGAATCGGACCTGCATGGGCAAGCACCGCATTGTTTCACTAGTGTAAAACCTGAAAGAGTTCATTTATGTATTTATTTTTTGTTTTGGTTTTTCTCCGGTACCGGGAACTGAACTCATGACCTTGCACTTGCCAGGCAGGCGCTTTGCCGCTGAGCTAAATCCCCAGCCCCGAAAGAGTTCATTTAAACTAGGAGGTATGATAGACATTGTGAAATGATAGGAAAACACTCAAGGGTAAAGGGCAACTGGGATGGGGAAAAGAGAAGGGAAAGAAGGAGAAATTTTGTATGTATGTATATACAGAATAGTTAACATGGCTGTTCTACCGTCTTCTATTTCTTTGCTGAAAGAAACTGTTAATGAGTCCTTGATTGACCAATATTGCGTGTCTCTATCTGTTTTCATGAGAAACCACTTTGAAGATATCAATATGTAATACAACAAGCATTGTTAATTTCCTACCACTTTGTTTGTAACTCTGTATTGTCACACTGTTCCTTTGCTATTTTGGTAAAAGGTTGTCTGTTAAAAAAAAATAAGAGGAAGCAACATCTTAGATTATCAAAAAAGGAAGAAGAAAAATGAAAAACATATCCCAAGATATATGTGATTAAATTATTGGTGAAAACAAGAGAATAGGCAAAATTAAGAGTTTGACAATAAATTCTTAAATATAAGTAAATAGAAATTACCACATCTGTGAAGTAGGTAAATTAAAAAATTGTGCATCTGGGAGTTCAAAAGCCCGGAAAAAAGGACAAAAAGTAAGAAGATAAAATCAAGGGTTCCTAATGAGTGGATAATGCAGGGCATGGCAGATGATATCGAATCAGTGATAGGCCATCACACTCAAAGTGTATCATGCACGCATCCAAAAATGAGAGAAAGGAACTTCTGTGTGAGGCAGCCCACAGCGTTAGGTATAGCTTTGCTGTGAGTGTGGATGTTTACAATCATCTTTGGGACTGTGGTAGAGATGAAATAAGTCAGCCCAGGTCAAGTGTTAGAGAAAGAAGCATACAGAGGTGTGAATGTGGGAGTCAGAGCTGAAGGCCAAAGCTCCTGACCACCACAAGCTGCATCACCAGCTCTTTTCTTTCCTTTGATTTTTCTTTTGTGACAGAGTTAAGTTGCCCAGGCTAGGAATGAATTTGCAGTCCTCTTGTTTTGGCCTTCCAGGATGTTGGGATTATTGAAATATACTACTGTGTTCAGTTTGGACTTCAGATTTTGACAAATATGGTTTCATGAATGCCATATAATCATAAGATATCACCAGCCACAAACGTGGCGTACTACACCTGTCAATGACTAAAAGGCAAAGAAATATTCACAGACACTTGTGGAATTTTACATTTAGTTTATTTTTATTAACTCCATACAATTTCAGTAAAATGTCTGCTGTAGAAAGCACGTCTTTCCTTTTCTGGAGCCAAACAAAGGGTGCATCTTATTTGGTTTTTCTGCATTCTGTAGTATCCTACTAATACTGCTTTATTATTTTTGTTACCACAAACCCCTTTATTTATGATTGAGGACTTTACTCAGGAAACATTCCATACATTCTGAAGTTCATTATTGGTCCTAAACTTCTTGTGCCCAAGTAGTACATTTTCCCCACTCACCTTTCCAGTCACATAGCTCACATTTTCCCTTTTTTTTAAATTTTAAGTTTTGTCTTTTTGAGACAGGGTTTCGCTATGCAGTTCAGGCTGGGCTTGAGCTCACTTTGTAGCCCAAGTTGGCCTCGAACTCACAATGATCCTCCTGCCTCAGCCTTCCGAGTGCTGGGATTGGGCCGGGGATATAGCTCAGCAGCACAGCGCCTCCCTGGCAAGTGCAAGGTCCTGAGTTCAATTCCTGACACACACACAAAAAAAAAAAAAGAAGTGAGGAAGGACCTGTCTCCTTCAAGGCTACGCCCTCTATGACCGAGTGCTGGGATTATAGGCGTGCACCACGACTCCCGGCGTCGTATTTTCTCTTACTTCCAGACCTAAAGAGAACTTGGGTTCATTATTCTTTTGTCTCACATAGTGATTTAACTGGGGTAAAATGCAAAAGAGAAAAGTAGGGGAAATATTTTAAAGATACTTGGGCAGTTCCTCACCTATAAAATTGGTATAATAAATATCTACCTTAGATGTAAGTTGTAGAAAGTTTTTTTTTTTTTTTTTTTTTTCCGGTACCGGAAATCGAACTCACGACGTCGCACTTGCCAGGCAGGCGCTGTGCCGCTGAGCTAAATCCCCAGGCCTGAAAGTTTTTAAAAGCCAGTTTAATTATGTAGATAATGATTCTTAGTCTTGTTAATCATTATATTTACTTGTAACTATTTAAAAATACCCAGGTATCCTAGCTTGAGACCAAAAAGAATTTAAACAGAAAGTTTGCATATGAAATTCTTAGTGGTAACTTCCTTTTTGTTAATTATGATTGTTAATTCATATTAATTCTACCAAGGAATGGATTTTTATTATGACAAATTTTGGTGGTCATTATTTACACCAGGAGTATGAATAATTACCTTAGGCTATTTCTTGATATGCAGATCATGCTTCCTGAATATTGTTTTTAAATCAATACTATATTATGTGCATTGCTTCAGATATAAGAATTGATTTTGTTTGAATTATCATTCATGAAATTTGAGTTCTGGGTATATCTGCGTGTTTCCACTCATCTGCACTGCAAAAGCAACTACTGTTGGGAACATGGTGTTTTTGTTTTCCTGCCAATGTTTCCAGGTCAATATTGATGTACATATTCATAAATAGTTATCTTAAGAAACTTACCTAATGACTACCTAAAGCTGAACTAAAAACTGTACAAAACAACACCCGTAGTCCCAGAAATGTGCTACTTTATGTCAACATGTGGTTTTACATTTCTCTGCAGTGTTCATATGAATATATACAATATTTAATGGTTAGGCAATATTACCAGAGAGAAGGTTGTAATTCAGTTGTTATTTTATTATTACAATGAGCCTTTGAAAGCATCTGTGTCTTTTGCCATGTCATGTCAGATAAGTGAGATTCCTTCATAATATTTGGGTTCAGGTTAGTTATGTGACTTCCAAAATTTGTGCATGGCTAGTGTACTACTACAATTACCTACATTTGTTGTCCCAATTTTTAAAAATAAATTATTAGCATTTTAATCTTTTTTTCTTAATATGTATCTTCAAAAATATCCTTGATGTCTGTCTAATAATAATAATCCTTTTAAGATAACTAATTAAGAAATTTCATAGTATATGGGGAATGTTATTTTTGTTTGGATCTTTAGTGTTTGTTTGGAGGTCCTGGCAGAGGAGCACAGCTGCTGGTACACCCTTGACCAAAGAGTGGTCCTCATCTTGTGGGAGGTTTTTCTCTTTGACCAAGTGCACAGCTCAGGGTGGAGGCACATGATACAGTGAGGGAGGACAGAGACACTTGTCTAGCTATCCAGATCAGCCAAATCAACCCTGGCAATCAGAGAGTTGACAGATGTCTCAGCCAGATCACCCTCTGCTTGGTTCTAGTAGAAGAGACTTTGCCCTAGAATGGAAGTCAGCCAAAGAATACTTGAGCCCAAGACTAGCGTTTAGACTGTGTAGGAAGTAGAGAGAATAGTGCCCATATTTATAACATCTGTTTCATGTAAACAGATATTTTGTCATAATGGTTTTTTTTTTACACAGATATTTCTGTCATTAAAGAAAGCATATTGATAAACAAAATTGTCTAAGGGCACTTGAGCCTTGAGATGATATGAAAGTCTAAAATCATTTTCAGGCTAGGCAATAAGTTTTGCCTGCCTTTCAGTCTTATATTATTTTTCTTTGCATCAGTCTGTAGCTGGTGGATTTTCTTTCATGGTCCCTTGTTATTTGTAAGAGATCTTTATTTTTATGATTACTAGCCATAATCCTGTCTTTTATGTCTGAAATTCTGTCTTTGCTTTCATTGAGGTGATTTTACCAATTTTAAATGGATTTTTAAATTTCCTATATATCTATTTGAATCTGTCTTATGGATTCCATTTCTTTTCTATGTTGTGCATTCGTGGTTTCCATCATTTTCCTATGCTCCTCTATTTTTTTTATCTGTGTCTATTCTAGACTTGCTGAGTAAGTCTTTCATTATGGGCATCAGCTCTTTTCTACCTGGAAGATTATTTCTGACTTGGTTTCCTCTATAGTCCCATGCACCTGTTTTTGAATTTCTATTGCTATCATTTCAGAAACTTCAGGTGGGTGACATCCATTTTCTTTTACTTTATTATCCCTTGGACTTGCACTATGTGGGTTAGAGTTCTGGGGTTGGGTTTTGCTTCTGTGTCTCATCATTTTCTATTTTTAAATTTTATTTTATTCTTTTCTCTGTTGAAGCCTACATATTTCTTATAGTAGGCAGATTTATCACTAATATTGAAGCCTCACTAGGAAATGTCTGTTCTTTAGAAGTGTGTTCTATGTGTAGGAAGTTCTTGGTTTTTGTGTCTGTCCCAAGATCCTACATTCCCAGTTTACTAAGAATGAGAAGTTGCCATGTATTTGGCTCAGCTTCCAGTCCTTTGGAACTGGACTATGGTGATGGTTATGACCCCAGTCACAATGTTATTATAGAAGAGAGAACAACTAGTATGACATCCTGGTTGAAGTATTGCAATTAACAATAACAATAGCATAACATGTGGCCTAGAATCTGACAAACTGTGGCACCTCTTGATTTGGTATTGCTAACCACAGGGGCAAGATCTATAGTTTTGTATCAAAACCCACCATAAATCAGGAACTTGTATGCAATGAATTTCTGACAGAAAATCATAAGAGAAAGAAATGATGAATAAGGATAGTTAAATTATCATTATTTGTGGATGAAATGATACTCTACATAGAAGACCCCCAAAACTCTACCAAAACACCTCTGGATTTAATAATCAAATTCAATAATATAGCTGGATACAATGTCAACACTCAAAAGTCAGTGGCATTCCTGTACACAAATGACAAATTCACAGAGAGAGAAATTATGGAAACCACATCCTTCACAAACATATCCAAAGAATTGAAATACTTAGGCATCAACCTAACAAAGGAAGTAAAAGATCTATACAGTGAAAATTACAAATTTTCAATCTATACATTGAAAAGTCTCTGAAAAAGAAGATCGAAGACAATATCAGAAAATGGAAAGATATCCCCTGCTCATGGGTAGGAAGAACCAACATTGTGAAAATGGCCATACTCCCAAAACTGTTATACAAATTTAATGCAATCCTAATCAAAATACCATTAGCATACCTCACATATCTAGAGAAAACATTCCTAAAATTATTTGGAAACAGAAGAGACCTAGAATAGTGAAAGCAATTCTGGACAACAAAGTCAAGGCAGAGGTGATCACACTCCCTCACTTGAAATTATACTGCAAAGCTACTGTGATAAAATCAGCATGGTACTGGCCAAAAAAAGAAACAGACCTGAAGATCAGTGGAACAGATTGGAAGGTGCAGACAGAACTAGAAAGACACTCAGCCACATTATCTTTGACAAAGGGGCTAAACATATTCACTGGATGAAAGATAGCCTCTTGAATAAAACTGGCTTTCCTCATGCAAGAAACCTTATGAACAAAATCCAGACTGTATGGGAAATACTTCAAGGACTCAAAATCTTTTTTTTTTTTAAATTTTAGAAATTAAAGGAGGAAAATACTGACAGACCGACAACATTTTACAAAACAGCATAGGATCAGTACTGACATTACAGAGTTACAGAGTGGTAGGGAATTAACAATGCTTATTGTATTACATATTGATATCTTCAATGTAGTTTCTCATGAAAACACATATAGACATACAAAGCTAATCAACCAGTGCCTCACTGACAGTTTCTTTCAGCAAGGAAATACAGGACAGTAGAACACCCGTGTTAACTATCCTGCATATACATATATACAAACTTTCTCCTTCTTTCCCTTCTCTTTTCCCATATTCCAGTTATCCTTTACCTATGAGTGCTTTCCTATCAATTCTCAATGAAGGACTCAAAATCTTATTAAATAAAGGACTCTCATCTTACTAAAAAGCTTTTGCATAGTAAAAGAAATCACCACAAAGTGAAAAGACAACCCACAAAATGGGAAAAAGGTTTAGCCAGTTGTCCCTCAGACAAAGGACTTCTATCTAGAATGTATAAAGAATTGAAAAGTATCAGGCCTCCCAAATTCAAAGACCCAAATACAAAAATAGGCATCTGAGATGAATGTGTACTTCTTAGATGAAGAAATACAAATGACAACTAAATATATGAAAAAATGTTCAACATCAATTGCTATCTGACAGATGCAAATTAAAACAACTCTGAGATTCCACCTCACTCTAGTAAGAATGGCTATCATCAAGCAATCAATCAATTACAAGTGCTGGAGGGGCTGTGGGGAAAATAACTTTTCTCCACTGTTGGTGGGAGTGTAAACTGGTGCAACCACTGTGGAAATCAGTGTGAAGATTCCTAAATAAACTAGGATTTAGAGGTCCCATTCCACCCAGCTGCTTTACTTCTGAATATCTTCCCAGAAGAATTAAAAGTATCATACCACCACATCATACTGCATATGTGCACTCATGTTTATAGCAGCACAATTTGTAAATAGCACAATGGCTAAATCTTGGAAACAAACCAAATACCCATGAACCAAGGAATGGATGAAAGTTTGTAGCCTTTCTACAGACTGGAACACTACTCAGCCATAAAGAAGGGTAAACTGGAGACTTTTATTAGTAAATGGATGCAACTAGAGCCCATACTTACAAGTGAAATAAATCAGACTCACATGTGTTAATATCATATTGTCTCCCTGGTGTGCGGAACTGAAAGAGTAAATAAGGTCCAAAATGTACAATAGATAATGCAAAATGGCAAGAAATTGTTGAAAAGGAAAAGGGAACTAGGATGGGGGAAATGGGAAAGGAAGGAAGGAAAAAGGAAAAAAACAAAATACAAGACAGTTATACTACTAGTTTCTCTGAGTTAATTGAAAAGAAAGATGTGTGCAAATATCATTTGGAGAATTTTTATACCCATATCTTATACTCTGATTAACTACTTTGAATATAACAATATTCAATGTATTAACTATTGCTATTCTCCTATTATTATTTTTTTAATGAAATTTTGTTTTACTTTTTTTTTCCACAGAAAAAGATTAAAAGAGAATGCGGTCAGTTTTGAGACTATATGTCAGTGATACAAGGGTGTTATGTGTGGTTGATCATCATGTAACACTTTCCATGAGCTTTCCCTGTGGTTTATGGCTGCATTTGCTGTAGGAGAAGTAGCAGATGCCACCCCTGCTCTGCCCTGTAATCTATCAGAACTTACTGAGTAAACAGGACAGTGAATAAGAGATCTCCAGCTGGGTGGGATGTCCCTGGGAAGTAGAAGCAGGATCAAAAGAAAGCAAAATGTTCAATGAGGCTTTTGGAACCCAAGTACAACAAAGCACCTAAATCGCAGTTCTCTTAGCTGAACTGTTGAACGTTGGTGTCCTTGCCTATGGCTACCCAAAATGTCATGTCTGTTTTCATGATGAGGGGTTGTCTATCCCACGTGTCTCTCGGTGTTAACTGGGTTACTCTGCATCACTCCTGGGTCATGAGCAAGGAAATGCACAGCCAGCACACCTCTCCTGCCAGGTGTCTGATGGAAGCTCAGTTTCTATGCACACAGTTGATAGGAATAGCACACCAAATAGGAGGCTCCTTAATCAGACACCCATGAGAGCGAGACACACAGGATGGACCCATCAAATTGAGGCCTGGAGGCACAGGCTGAGTATACTGCTTTGAAGGATCAATGGACAAGTTCATAGTTAATCAAAGTATTCCATGTTATCCAAATCTTTAAGGCTTCCTACATAATAAGGGAAGATGAAGAAGGGAAAATAAATGTCTCCCATGGTTTTGGTCCTTCTATTCAAGAGGAAACTTGTATGTATTATTTACTTCTCATAGGTTCTGTTTTTTTTTTTTTGTACCAGGGATTGAACTCATGACCTTGCGCTTGCTGGGCAGGTGCTATGCCATTGAGCTAAATCCCCAGCCCCTGTGTTATTTACTTAGCCTGGTTCATTTGTTTGCATTTTAAAGACCAATCTGCTTTCCATGCCCATTGCTTATTATGTATATAATTTTAACAATTTTAAGTGGCTATTTCAGTAGCATTAATTACATTCAAATTGTTACACAACATTCACCATAAAACTTAGCAAAAATTGTTTTCTCTTGACTCCTGATACTCATTTTCAACAACTGCATTCCTCCCACTCCACAACCCTTTCAATGACATTCTGCTCTGAAGCATGAAGAGGAATTAAAGCCATCAAATGATAATAATTAAATGTTCAGGAGAAGTATTTACAGGTCTAGGAGCTTAGCATTTATACTTTAATCTACTTACATTACATTAGAATGCTTTAGCTCCTGAGATTAGATTTTTCTACTGTGGAGTCTTCGCAGGGCATTTTTAATGTCACTGTTCCTCAAGCTGTAAATGAAGGGGTTCAGCATGGGTGTGACCACAGTGTATATCACGGAGGCCACTGCACTCTTTCTGAGGGAAGATGACACAGCTGAACTAAAGTACACTCCAACAGCTGTTCCAAAAAATAAGCAAACCACGGACAGGTGAGACCCACATGTGGAAAAGGCTTTGTATCTCCCATCTGATGATGGGATTTTCATAATAGAGGAAACGATTTTACAGTAAGAGAGAAGGATTTCTGAGATGGGAATAAAACCAAATAAAATACTAATTAAATACATCATTATATTATTGGTAAAGCTATCAGAACAGGTAATGTTAAGGAGCTGAGAAGGGTCACAGAAGAAATTAGCAATTTTTACATCCTTAAAGCAATTACACTGTAAGGCAATTAAATTATTCAGCTGCGAGTTCAAAAGGCTAAGAAAAAATGATACAAAAACTAAGAGAGCACAGAGCTGAGGGTTCATAACGGCTGCATAATGTAGGGGATGACAGATGGCCATGTACCGGTCGTAGGCCATCACTGTCAGAATCATACCATCCATACTTCCAAAAAGGACAAAAAGAGACATCTGTGTGAGGCAGCCCACATATGAGATGACCCTGCTGTGAGTTAGGATATCTGCTATCATCTTTGGGACCGTGGAGGAAATTAAACAGATGTCAGCCAGGGACAGGTTGGAGAGGAAGAAGTACATGGGGGTGTGGAGTTGGGAGTCAGAGCTGACGGCCAGGATGATGAGCAGGTTCCCCAGCACCGTGACCAGGTACATGGTCAGGAACAGTCCGAAGAGGATGGGCTGGAGTTCTGGATCCTCTGAAAGACCCATGAGATGGAATTCTGAGACATGTGATAGATTCTGTATTTGTATGGTGTTCAGAAACCTTTGGGAAGTGAAAATTCATTGGAAAAATGAAATAAGAATACATCAAAGATACTGTATATTTTTTTGAGTGGAACTATTTCCAAATAAAATATGCATGCTTGAGTACCGTACACCTTTAGCAATATTTTACAGCCATGAAAAACTCAAACTTTTTAGAAAAATTTTCATATTGGTTTCTTTGGAATTCGTTTTCTTCCATACACACCTAACTTAGAATTCTACTGAGCCATTAAAGAAGGCCAAGGACATTAAAAATAACAAGTTCTTGAGCACAGGAAAATTCATCCTCTTCTTTTAAGAAAAAGTAGAGAAAGAGTAATGCCATGTCAACTCTAAGAAAATTCTCATTCTAAGGGAAGGAAATGAAGAAAATTAAGGAAAGAATTTTCAGTAAATCGGACCAATTCCCTTGACTGAGAGTATTTGTAAGCTAGCCCTACATTATCTGAACACTGAATTAAACCCGCTGGTTCACAATCAGAACACACTGTGGGGATCTCATTGTGAATTTTCTCTCAGGAGTTTTTCCATAATCTTGAGTGTTCTGGTTTCCTTCCACTGTGCATACAAGCGATCACCCAAATGTTGTTTTTCCTTTCAAAATTGTTTCATATATAACTTCTCTCCTTAGCTGTGGTGAACTTCAATATCTTATAAAGATGATTTAGTTATATGCACTGTTTCATAGATCTCTCTGACCACAACTGTGGCATCAAAGCATACTACCCTCATCAATGATTTAAAAGTAATAATGATAAGAAGCACCAGGAAGCGTTTTACTTGTATCATCCCCATAATATAAAGAACCTATCTGGTGAATACGACAGCTCTTTGCTCTTTTTCTGTGTCTTGATTCCATATTTTATAGTATCATGTTCATGTAGTTCATCGTTTTCCAGATCATAACCTCCCTTAATTTACAACTGAAGGCTGTAGCACTGAGGGAAACCCCAAAGCCCAGGTGTGTCCCACTTTCCTATTTCAAATTAATATACTTGCACATCAGTCTTTCTTGATTCATGGTTTGCAACTCTCGTTTACTTTAGCTACCTGAAGGAAATACAGGCTTACACTCTGTTTGTTTCTTTCTTTTGGTTTTATTGAGACAGGATTTCACTATGCAGTTCAGGCTGACCTTGAACTCACGGTGTGACCCAGGCTGGGCACTAACTCATGGCGATCTTCCTGCCTCAGCCTTCTGAGTGCTGGGTTTACAGGTATGCGCCACCACACCCAGCTCCAAGGCTCACTGCTTTTTCAGGTCACACTATAATTTTTTTTTGGTACCTGGAATCGAACTCCAGACCTTGCACTTGCTAGGCAGGTGCTATGCTGCTGTGCTATACTCCCGGCCCTCACACTATGATTTAATTGGGAAAATCCAAAGCATAAAAGGACATGAAATAATGTAAACATACTTATAAATAATGTTACATTCCCCTTACTTATCACTGGGAATTCTAAGGGTTTGTCTTATGTAGTTGTTTTCAGAGAATGTTTTAAACATCTTTTAAATTTTATATTTAGTTTAGTAATATATTTACCGGTGAATATCGTAAAATATACAGATAGCCTGGCTTCAGACCAAAACCAGTTTCATCAGGATGACTATATCTAAAGTTCTACGTTACATTTTAATGGCAGAGTTGAGAACCACTGTTGTAGAATATTTCCTGACATTTAGGAAAGCTCCATGGAACAGTAACTATTTTTAATTCAATATGACACACTCTCTATATTAATGTATGAAATAACATAATATTTGCATCAGATCTAATATTTGAGGGAGAATCTGAAAATTACCTATGAAGTTTGAGTTTTGGCATCTCCACACAATTCTCTTCTTTAGAACACTTGTCCCTAAAAAGAATTATTCTTTTGAATTGGGTGGTTAGGTTTTTCTGTCAGTGTCTCCACGTCAGTATTATGTTATGTATCTGTAAACAGTTTTCTTCACAACTTACCAAACTTACCAAGAAAAGTAACTAAGGCCATCTAATAGTAAACAGTGTAGCACCTAATGGCCATGAAATGTACTAGCTTCCATCAGCAAGTGGTATTGAGTCTCTCTGTGAGAGGTATACATCTACTTCAAATGCTTTAGGTGTACAGCATTGTGAGTGACAGGGGCATCGCTTAGATTATGGGAATGTTTTCAAAATTCCTATACTTCATTCCACTTCCCCCAAGTGATAATGGTATAAACTACAAGGATGGAGAGCAGATATTTCATTTTCCATGCTTGATACACATTTAGTATTACTAATTGTCAATGTCTGTTTCTCCAGATAAAAAAGTCATTAACACATACATTTTCTTCTTAGTGAGATATATCATCAAACTATTCCTGTAGTTAGACTTAGAAAATAAGGAGATCAGGAAAGGAGGGAGTAAGAGTTTAAGGAGAGAGGACTGGATGTGATCAAAATATCTTATGTGTACATACAAAAATTTCAGATTGAAACCCACTTATCTGTATAATTAATATACATTAATAAGAAATCTATGTGGCATGCCTACCACTAATTCCTTTATGATGATGAACCAAGAAATTTCATCTCGCATAGGGAATAAAATTTCCATTTGGTTCCAGTAAAAGAGACATTGCCCAGGGATGGAAAGCAGAAAATAAACGTTTTGGTCCACATCAATGACCTACTATTATAGGCAGAATATGTGTACATTTTTATCTCTCTGTGCTTATACTGCTTGGTTGAAATAAAGGAAATAACCCCACCTATATAGCAGATGTGGTGCCCAAGGGAAATCTGGAACTTCATGAATATCCATCAGTACTTTTTTAAAAGAAAGAATTTGTTATGTGTATAACTAGTGTATTGGTGAATACAGTTTTCAAATAGCACTGAAGAATGGAATGATGTGATGGTCTGTAATGAGTTTCAGCCCAAAGCATAAGGTTCACCCACCATTTTCTCTTTGCATTTTTCTTTTTTGTCCATGAATATCTCGGCTAGATTTTTGAATCATTAGCTGATGTAGAGGCAACAAAGTGGATTTTAAATCCTATGTGTCTGTGACATAGATACAAATAGGAGTTTTTATGCTGTCTGTAATTCTATGGGACTTTCCTTTTTTGTTGTTTTTCTTTGTTTTTTGGTGCCAGGAATCGAACTCAGGACCTCATGCCTGCCAGGCAGGTACTGCACCACCAAGCTAAACCCCCGGCTCTATGGGACTTTCTTGAAAGTGATAATGAGGAAACACAGGAAAGCGTGAAGAGTATTGGAACCACACTGATTACAACCAACTTTTTTGTGAACAAAGGGATGGTATATTCAATATCAGCAGATGTAACTTTTGATGCCTCCTGTGTGCCTAATAACGCAGAGGGTCTGGGGAATCAGAAATACAAGAGAGTTGGTCACTTCTTTCCAAATCTTTATATGTAACTATACAAAAATAAAATGTCCTGTGACAGAAATAGGAAACAGTGGCTACAGATCACAGGATTTTTACTAGAGTGGTGTGATTTATCTTATCATTAATAACCTGAATCATATTTTGTCATAATTTTGTGCATGCCTCACAGATTAATCTAAATGGAACAGTCACTGTTTGTTTAAACCTTACTTGGTTCAGTAGAATTCTACTCAGATGACATGCTCAGTCTCACAGAAACTAACAGCCTGTATTACATCACAGAAAGAGTAAGTGGAGCCAAAAGATTAAAAATAGATGAAATTCTCAACCTCTGCATCCAATGCATCAAATTTTGAAAAAATTGTTTCCCACAGAACAGAAAATTTTAAGCAGAAGGCCAGAAATCTTAACCATGAGACACCTGAAATATATTTTTTTCTTAACACTTTCAGTTTCTTAAAAAGAATGTGATCAAGATGTAAAATTATATCTGCTTATGAGATTGTGTGTGATAATTATAAGCACAGAGAAGGATATGGAAATCTGAGTGATTTTCCTGGAAAGGTGGCAAGAAAGAGGTCTGCACTGAGCTATAATGTTCCTACTTTTTCTGTGATCTTTGCCTGTGATCTACAGATGTCTTCCTTGTGGTGGATACAACAGCTTCTCCACACTCCTCTGCCCTGTCAGCTACTGAGAACTCACAGTAAATAAGGGGTCTTTTCCTGTAATGACAGGGAAATGAAACATCTGTTTGTGTTGCCAAGGAGATGGTCTGAGAGGGGTCTCCTGATAATGCCTTGTGTCCTTCTTCAGATACCTTAATGCAATGTAGCTTCACTCTTCTCTTCCTAACAACCAAACACAAATTACTTTCTTCAGATAATAATAAGTTGTAATAACTACCAGAAGACAAAGCACACGAAATGAAACAAACTATATACAAATATTTCTCACCACCTGGAATTTAGGAAGCCCTCAGAAACAGGTTATGATGCTATGGTTACTGTCATCCTTCTCCTGTTTATTATCACCTTTGTAACCATGTGGCATGCTTAAAAAGCAGTTTAGAAAAACACATTTGCTGCTGTTGTGGGTGATAAATCAATTCTAAGTAGAAGCAGGGTTTGTAGGAAGCTAATTTTGAATGAGATTTCTGGTATCCACACTACAGCCAAGAATACAAACCTTACATTTCTCATAACGGGTATATTTCATAATAGGTTCCTCTCATCTGTCTGCCCAGTTGTTATGTTTGTCCTCATGATGTGAAAAAACACTTTCAGGAGTCCTTCTTACATCCATGGATCTCTCTGCACTCACTGGGCTATGCTGCTTCTCAGCTGTGTCATAAGTGAGGAGTGAAGATCTGAAGATGTTCTTATGGCTGGTGTCCAGTGAAGGTCAGGGTTTGTTCTCAGGATGGAAATGAACACAGTGTCAGACAGGAGTTCCTGATGCAGACAGCCAAGTGAACAGACAACAAGGTTAGGGAGACAGTTATACTGGAGCCATTAAACTTAAGGGTTGGGGCACAAGCTGATTATTGACTATTATATGACCTTGGAGCCTCAATACTCAGAAATCATAATTATCTAAATTGGTCCATGCTACCCCAATCTCTAAAGAATTCCTAATAGTAGCCCTTGGAGCA